AAAAAAACTAACAACCAAAAACACAATTTCAACTTTTTGACTGAGAAACTCAAAAACATGAAGAAACATCAAATTCTCCTTGGACGATTCAGAAGATGGGTCTTCAACTTCGACTTAAATTTGAGTCTTAAATTTCATAAGTTCTCATGTATTTCATATTTTGACAAGCTACAATAAAAGTTTTGTTTTTATCTGACTCTTTGATGTTTAAAGCCACCAACATCCTTGTTGTATTTAAGGCTCTTAAAAGTTTCGTGTGCATGTTTCTGTGCAGGGCAGAAGCTGTTCAGCTGTCACATGTGCAACACATCCTTCTCCACGAAGGGCAGTCTCAAGGTCCACATGCGTTTACACACTGGCTCCAAACCCTTCAAGTGCCCTCACTGTGATCTCCGCTTCCGGACATCTGGTCACCGCAAGACCCACATCCAGGGTCACATTCGGCCCTCGGACCGGAAGGCCAAGCGGAGCTCCAGCACTGAGCCACAAAGCTCAGGAAGACAAGAAGTCCAAAGTGTTCCTCAGACTCATCATCCCTCCCGAGCTGTGGACACTCAGCCTTCTGTGGGATTATTACAGACTGCCACGACAGATCCTAACATCTACATCCCAGGAAACTCCGTGCTCGCAGGCCAATATGACCCCAGTCTGCTGCAGCAAGGGCTGGTAGGGCAAGCTATACTGCCTGCTACTGTGTCAGGTAATGACAAACTTTACAAACATTGTATGTTCGTTCACACTGCAAGCCAAAGTCAAGTCAAATGTATTTATTATTATTTTTTCATAAGGTTGTTCACACGACCTTGTAAATGTTGCTCATATTGGACAGCTCCAAATTCAGAACTGGGCTCAAACAATACATCCAGAGACATAAGCACTGCATCACAATTGCTTTAACACTTGAGTATCGCATTTAGAAGATTTATTATTACCATGCAGTTGGAAAATCATATTGTGGTGCATGTGTCTCTGTTATTTCCTACAACCAGTCATGGAGTACTCAACAAAGTGGTTAATTTAGCTATAATTAAATAAAGGAGACATCCAAAATGTGCAGTGCTTGGGAGGCGCCAGGAATGGTTTGAAATCCTTCTTTTAGTCCAATTATAGGACTTGAGTCTTAATATCATGTCAGTAAACGTATTATTAATTTCTTTTAGGGTTGATATACTGCTTTTAGAGATGAAAATGCTAGGTGCACCCTTAAGAATCTCAAAATAGGTGTAACAATGAGACTAGGTGTTATTCTAAAATCTCAAGCCTTAATGGTATAGTTCACCCAAAAATGACAATTCTGGCATCATTCATCTTAAGGACACCAATGAAGATATTTTTAGTATAATCTCATCATTTTTGTCCATCCATTTAAAGACTTTGATTGGATCGATGAAAATGATGAGAGAATTGAAAAAAAAAA